AATTACTGATTTATAGATGTCCAAGGAGATTAAAAAAAAGTTGAAAATAACCATAAAGAGTTTCCTGATCAAATATTTCAGTCAATAGTTGTCTCATTTGAAAAACAAACGCAGTCTTAAAGAGCTACAAAACCAACAGAGAAGCACACATACATCCGTGCATATCTATACAAGTATAGAGATCTATAAAACATGTTACGCACACGAGCTCAGATTTATCCCAGTATATGCCTATGGATTAAATTCTAACTGACTGAATTAAATCAGAAAATTTCAGCTACATAAAATGAAGTCTAGTTTTGTGTATGTATTTATACAGAACAGAAGATACTAAAAAGCCATAATTCATATGAAGGCATACATCAGCTAAATAGTGATTGCCGAATCATATTGTTTTGTTAGTCAAAACCAGCATTTTCAATCTCTTCTTAGGATGATAGCATTTTAAGTATATTTTTACTCTTCATTTACATACTAATTTCACCAAAATCAAATAAATTGAGTAAGAGGAAATGCATCTACTGTGTACATATTTAATCCCTTCTCTTTTTGTTCTTTTCACACAGAGATTGAAAGATTTAAAACAAAGGGAATTTGCTCGCAATGTGGCTTCAAAGTCATGGAAAGATGAGAAGAAACAGGAAAAAGCACTCAAGCGGCTCCACCAGCTTGCAGAGTTACGGAAGCAGTCAGAATGGCAAGTATTTAAAATTTATACTACATTTTAATGCCTTCTTTCCTCAGTCCCAGAAGAAATCTCCATATTTTCACTCCTACATTCTGAAATGTACAGAAATTGTGTATACTGTAACTTGTTTTCAGCTGTCCCCAACTCCAAATGTTCCTATTCTGCAAACCATAACATTGAAAGCCCTTGAATTAATTGCTATTTGAAGGTTTGTGTTTTTCTCTCCTATAGCTAGTTAATCTCATCTCTTCTGAGCTGAGTGGTTTGGAGATGTTGTTATGATATCATTTTACCTTATTTGAAGTTACCAGAATAGATTAGTATAACTGTGTTATCATTTGGTAGTAAGTGAATGGGAGAGGAAAAACACCTTATAGAGCATCTGATGTTTGTTAAGGCCATCTTAGAATAGGTTGTGGGATTTATTTAAAGTACAAGAAAACCAAACCACAAATTTATGATCTGAGAGGTTTTGGGAAAAGGAAAAGTGTAATTAATGAAAGTACAATACAGAAAGAGAAAATATGGCAAAGTCAAATGGTAGTTGACAATGAAAGCACTGAAGTTGCCATTAATATTGATGGAAAACCACCTTCTGTCCTTTCTCCCACCAATGTTTGGTGATAGTTTTAGTGTTAATATCTCCTCAAACATTTCACAAAAAGTCATTTGTTCTGGAATAATATAAATACAAAATAAAAATCTACACTTAAAAAAGTCATACATACACCCCCCCTCAATCAGAATGCAGCCTATTCTCATATGGAGTTGGATTGTGCAGATTCTCCAGGAGGAAGTGTCTCATTTTGAACAAGGTACGATTTCATTTGCAGTGGCCTTTCAGAAAATCAGGAGGTACCACAGACAAAATTATCCTTGATACAAATTCAGAGTAAAGACATGTTGTTTACATAACTCTGAAAAAGAGAATGCGTGTGCTGACTTCAAATCATATAATTTCCTGTATATAAGGACTGTCTTGCCCATATAGAAGCCCAAGCTCAGGGCTAGACTGCACATTTACACTTTAGAAACTTGCTTTTCCCTCGTAACAGCATGAGTGACACCCTTCTTTAGCAGAGAGACATTGTTAAATGTGAGTTCTATCTTAACTTGGTTACTTAATACATCTTCCTTTTTTTTATTTATTACTTTACAGCATCTCTGGGAATGGACCATTGCTTAAAGCCCCCAGATTAGTCATGGAAAAGCAGCAATTGCCAGATGGCATTTTCCTGTACAAGGGCAGCAAGTTCACAGCCAGTTCTCAAAGAACTGCCACTAGTGAAGGACAAGGTTTCTCCAGCAGCTTACTAGAGAAACAGCAGCTTATCATAAGCAGGCAACAGTCACCTACTGAAAGATCCCATGCACTTGGCAATCAAATTTCACACGCATTCCCAGATAGCACCAGTACTTCTCAAAGGGCTGGAGTGTCTTTCTCATTCTCTAAAAAAGTCCCTTTGAAGCTTGAGTCCTCAGCATCAGTCTTCAGTGAGAACTCTGAAGAAGGAAATGATTGTAGTGAATCCCCCAACCTTTGCAAAATAAAGCAAGCTCTTGAGGGCTGTCGTTCTGGCACACTTTTGGAGGAGGATATGAAAGCAAGCTTGGATAAAGGGTCACCTATTACACCAGAACAAACAGATTTGGATGATAGTGCATCAAATCACATAGCTGCAAAACCTAAAATGTTAAAGGAAAATAATAAATGTAGTGATAGAGGATTAGAAGAAAAGGTCAGTGCTCATCCTTCATTTTCCAAGGTCAAAATACAGCTTTCAAATTTGGATTTTTCTGGTTCATTTAGAGAAACAGAGCAAGAGAGCAAATTGAATGAGTCTGAGCAATTGTTAGAAACTCTCATTTCACCTCCATGCCAAGCTAGCAACTTTTTTACACAGCTGAACACCTACAAGCACAGCAACGCGCACCTGCCTGACCAGTTACCTGAGCTCCCACAACAGCCAGCACCCGAGCTGGCATGTTCAAGCAACATTAATGACAGTCCTGGGGTGATAAAAAGAGAAAGATCTTCGGAGAGTTCAGAAACTACAAAAACGAATGTGGAAATGCTTCCAAGGGAGGCCATGGTTAAAGAGGCTAAGCCCCAGGCATTGCCTTTCCTCCATGTAGTGAGCAAAGATGGCACCACTGCTTTGCAATGGCCCACAGAACTACTTTTGTTTACAAAAACTGAGCCCTGTATTTCATATGGCTGTAATCCATTGTATTTTGACTTTAGACTCTCTTTAAATCACAGAGATGGTAAAAAGCATGAAACAAACAAAGCAAGCTGTAAAGAGCACTCTATAAATAAGACTGCAGATGAAAACGAAGCCTCAGGTTTAATAAAACACAAACAAATGTCAAATGAACAAGATAATCAGTTGTTGAAACCAAAGAAGATGAAAGGTTCCTTAAATCCAAGAAAGGCCAAGCAAAAATCTGAGTCAGACATAGGGAAAGAAATTAATGAAAATGGTCAAAAATGCATTGCAGATTATTTGAATGAAAATATACCCAAAGTGCCTGCTTACCTTGGTGTCTCACAAAAGGATTACATGGCAGAAAAAAGTCTTCATACAACAACACTGAGAAGACCTTTAAAGCATCATTTTCATAGCTGTGAAAGAAAAAACCAGAATATTAAAAATGAAAGTATTTCCTTTTCTGCATTTATGTCTAGGATTAAAAAGTCTAAAGCTGCAAAATGTCATTTAATTTGTTCTGAGGAAAAAAGTGAAAACCAAAATGACTGCAGATCTGTTCAAGCTGTGGCCAGCTGCAGCAGTGATGTAAGTAACAGCGGAAAAGACTCTAGTGGAAGTTTCCTTATTTATAAATCCAGTTCAAACAACAGGTATTCAGAAAATGAAGGATGTAGAAGTTACATGAAATGCTGGAGATTCCCATCTCCTCAAGAGTCCTCCTCTGACAGACATTCCAGCACTTCTGACAGTTCAGTTAGCGGTACTCACATGAGTTATGTGAGTCCCACATCAAACAATCACAGCAGAAATCATTTGGTTTTTTGTTGTAAAAGGAAGACATCTGAAAGGCACAAATGTAAACACAGAAAGCACAAATGTATTTTCACTTCTGATTATACAGATGAGGATTGTCTTTGTCATAGTAGAAGTCACAGAAATAGAAATTGTACACAGAGGGGCAGAATTAATTATCAAAGATGTTCAAGACATAAAGTTTTACAACACAGAGACAGATCTAAACACAGCAGACATAGACACCGGCATTTTGGCAAAGTGCATAGTAGAAGTAGAAGCTACCATAGCTCCAAAAGTTGTTCCAGCAGAGATTCAAGAAGCAGTGAAAGATCATCTAGTAGCAGAATATCAAGAGCCAGCAGTTCAGGATCCTTCTCAAAAGAGACTGACATCTCTGACAACAAAACAAAAGAAGATGCAGAACGAGGTTCTAACACCGAACTGGGAAAAGCTGAAACTGCACATTACAACTCTCTGAATGTGAATGGTCAGTCAGAAATCTCTGCCACCTGCTCTTCTGAAACCTTGGCAAAAGACATACATGGAAAAAGAAAGTCACTGGCAGCCAAGTTACTTTTAGAAAGAGTGCAGCCCAAGAAAAACCAGGAACATATGCACCATTCAGAGAGATTTTCAAACACTTGTGGGGTAGAATTAAAGGATCACTCGCGAAGTCACTTTGCTCTTCAGTTTTCATCATCTGTAGATGACATTGCAATGTTACCTTTACCAGAGAAACTGCTACGCATAGGTAAAAATGACATGGGACATAATGAAATCAGTTCATTGGAAACCAGTGTGAAGAAAAATAACTTTGAAGCATCAGCGATAACTAATGTTGCTCTTTCAACAGGTACTGATTATGATAATTGTTTTTTTAAAGACATCATTCCAATAGAATCAGGCTATCATAGCCCAAGCATAAAAAGGAGCACAGCAATAAAGGAACAATCCAATCTCTTCATTAGTGAAGTGCAACCTTTTATACAATGCTGTGACCCAGTACCAAATGATTTCCCTGGTGCTTTTCCCTCTAATAGATATTCTGTTGTTGCTAATTCAACAGAGACCAAAGAAGAACTACATGATGTAAACATGGACTCAAATCAGGCAGAAGGCAGTTCAGACTCTCTTTGTGACAATGCTATACAGAAGTGTGATGACACAGTAAATGACCTAGAAGTGTACAGTAAATCCACCTCCATTCCTTTAACGCAGCAGCCTATCACATTTTCACCCGAGGAAGTAGACAAATACAGGTTGCTGCAGCTGCAAGCCCAGCAGCATATGCAGAAACAACTTCTGGCAAAACACTTGAAAGTTTTGCCTGCCCAGGGACCAGCTGCCTTCTCTGCAACACCAGCAGTTCCTGCCCTCCCTGTTCCGCAGCACACTACTGTCACCACCATCCACCACACACTGCTGCAACGATTTGCTGTGTCATCATCTGTACATCACCCTGGCAGCCATCTCTCCCTGGCACACCTCCACCCCCTCTCTCAGCCACATTTTGCCCCCATATCACTTTCCCCATTAGCCCCGGTCCTTCTTCCCACCCACCCCGCTCTGCTGACAGGACACCCATTGCACTTGGTCTCCACTACACCCTTCCACCCTTCCCCACTGGCCTTCCCTGCACTGCCACACACCCCATATATCCCAGCCTTATTTACACCACACCTGAATGCAGCCACACCTTCTGCTATGCATCCCTTAGATCATCCATTATTCCAAGGGCAAGAGCCTCATCACCATTCTTGCTCCAGACAGACCCAACAGTTACCTACAATAAAAGAAGTTTTCAGTGTTTCTAGCTATTTAAACTAGCCCAAATGATTACACCATGGCTCCAACCCCAAATTTGAATAAAATAAATTATTCAGTGTTCAATCGCACGTCTGAGGGGAAATATACTATTGTGCTGAGAGCACAAGAGCAGATATTTTGCAGTCCACATTCTGGCTGACAGCATATGAATGTTGATTTTGTTCTCATATCACTGAGTAAAAGCCTTTTGTGATACTATCTACAAGGAGGATGGGGTCCAGCTAGTGTCCTTCTACAGAAGGTTTGGAAAGAACAGCCTGAAGTCTGTGACTGTCAGTAGGAATGGGACCACAGCACCCAGACACAATGGGACCAAGAATATCAACACTGATGAGTGATTTAAAGTAGCACAATTTAAGGTAGAGCAATCTTGACGCACCTCAAAAGTTGGCTTTTCTGAGTGCATTTATTCAATGGCATAGTACTTCATGTGATTAAGGTATTTCAGACTGAGTGAAAAAGAAAGCCAAAATAAACTGAGGAGCCTCAGAGTGAGAGGTGATGAGCTAACACTGGAAGAAGAGGGTCACAACGACATTTCAAAGATACTTTAGTGACTTTATCCCTGGGATGTTTCTTGGAGAGTGTAAAGGGACTGCAGTCTGGCCACAGATACAGAACAAAAAATCCCCTTAGTGTAGGGGGCTCTGTGCTGGCACAAGCAGGCTGCTACTTTTCTCCCTGAGCCAAGCATCCAAAAAGGCAAGGGAAAGAAGAGGATGAAACCAAGTTCTTTGGCATTGCCTGCCTGTGGCTGTAGCATAGGCTATATCAGGGGTGGGCTGCAGCAGCCCAGAGCTGCCAGGCAGCTAGTGCTGGCTTTGAACCTCAACTCCTCAGCCAAGACTGCAACACTTCTTTCCTACCAAACAGACCTCTGACTTGTGGGACAGTCTTGCCCAAAGAACGTGTAAATATGCTTCAACCCTTTCACAAACAACATAAACAATTGGCTGGTCCTATAATCGTGCTGATATTCATAAAAATGCCTAAATAAGGTTCTGAGCAGAGTCTGGCTCTTCAGGTCAAGTGTTATAGAAAACCTTACCACAGTTCTCAGCATTTCAAGGTATATTGAATCCAAACAAATATGTCAAGATTCTCACATGGCTTCCCAAACTCTCAACATACAAATTAAAGTTCTGAAGCTGCAGTGTTTGAATGCATGTATCCAACCTTCTGGGTTATGCGTGGTTGAAATTGCTAGTAATAACTGTGTATCTGGAAATAGTTGAGGTCTTCAGCATCTCTTTGAATGGCACACTTTGACTATTTTTATGATGTTTCTAACCCAACATGGGATATTTAGCATGAAATTAAGTTCATAATTGTGGTTAGACTGCAGGTATGCTTCCCAACATAATTGGACAGTGAAATGTCCAACAAACAGTACCTGTTTGTTTGGATTAGAAACATTTGAAATTATGTCAATTAATTTGGGATAATGTAGTGCACAGTTAATAATGTATCTTTCAGAATCGATATAAAACACATTAAAAAAATTTTCGAAGCTTTTATTCTATTATATTCAGCCATCTGAAGAAACTGAGAAATATGGAAATGGAATTGAATATTTAAAATACAACTTAGTACCAATTTTCTAACTTATTTTTAATCAATCTAGATTGATCCATTGCAATAAAATGGAATAGTTTTAATTTCTAAAAGCAGCTGCTTCAGCATAAACTGGTATTATGCCAAACTTTTCAAATGACTTTACAAGCTGTGAATGCTTGTCTTCTATTTTCAAAGTTAAAGTTTCTTTGGATGCTCAACATTTTAACCATCAAATAAAAGCTGTCAGGAAAAAATCTGGAGAATGAGCAGAAGTAAAACATTTTTGTACTGAAAAAGGCTGGTGAAACCAGCACCCTCAAATATCTTTTCATAGGATTCCCAGCTCATTTATTAATTTCATCAACAAAACAGATTCGTGCCATTTTGAAGTTACTTATCTTTATGGTTTAATTTTCTGATTTTGATTGAAGAGAACTTCTTTAATTGAAATTATTGCTTCAGAATTGAGGAAGTCAGAAATTTTCTTGGGGAAAGTTTTTAAAAATAAATATTTCCACAGTTTTAAAATTCTTCCTTTCATTTTTGGCTGAAAATCTTCCCAAAATTAGATCTGAATTTATGTATAACTTCTATACTTCAAAAACATTATTTTCTGAGAATCAAACATATTTCACTGAATATGACTTAACAGGTCTGAAAATTATCATTTGCTTGCTCAGATGGAGATCCCTCATCCAGTGGGCAACTTGGAAACATTACTTATAATTCTGTAGAAACACTCCGAATTGGTTGTTTTAAAGGAGCAGGTCAACCTGTGCCATAGAAGAGGCTGACGGAGCTGCACAGCCATTACCACCAGTTCAGGGCTAATACCAGCCTAAAAGATGCATTTCCAGTCCTACAAACTTTTAAATTTATGGGCCCAATACCATTCCTATTCAGGAAGAACCAGTTGTTCTTACTGAATATAAGAGTTCATTTGAATCCTAAGTAGATAACAGCAAGAAAAAAAAGTGGAACAGAAGAAATGACGGGCTAATCTCATCTTTAATGTGCACACACACATTTTGTATCCTTGCAATGTTAATTTTGTATAAATTCCTATGGCAAAAAAAAAACTGACAAACTGAAACTACTACGTAGATAATTTATGGAAAATAGTTATATATGTTTCCCTCAATGCACAATACAATAGGGTTCCAGGAAGGAACCAAATCATAGGATGTCCATGCATCATTGTAATACCAACAAGGATGATCTGGTGAGGCAAATAAATAGACAATAAAGATTAAATTTAATTCTTGGAGCAATGGGAATTAGGATTTTGGGTGGTGTTGATGGGAAAAAAGAGAGATTAAGAAGGAACAGAAAGCACGATAGCAAAACAGCAATCATTGACAACCAACAAAGGGAATGACCAATATTGTTCTTAGTACACAGAAGGGATTTTCTTGGAGAGATGTAATAAATTATCAGCACAGCTGAGATGGTGTATTTGCTCTGCTTGCTGCCGTATTTTTTTTCATCAGTAATGAACTTTAAATATGTATCATTATTGTTATTAGAAGCATAATTGATCCTGACATATGGAGCCATGCTACAATTTTGATTTTATTTAGACTGATTTGTAAAAGAGTTACAGTATCCTGGTGGCAGTGATATATACACTCCAAGTTAATAATCTATTTAAGCTTGATTGTACATTCCTGATCCATAATCCAAGGAAACAGGTCAGCCACACTGTAAAATTCCAATAACAAAAGTCTCCTGAGTTACATAATGATAAAATTTTTTTTTGTATTTTTTTTTTTAACTGAGGCACTTCTGGAATACATTTAACATGTATATTTGTTGTGCAGATTTGCATAAAAATGCCATTTGACCAGATTGATTTTGAAAGTGTTAAGTTTATATTTAAAACTGGATAACACTCTGGCTAGTATAATATGTAAACTAGTAATTTTTTTTTTGTATTCTCTATATAAAGTGTTTTATATTATACAGTAGCTAAGTGAATTGCACTATTGTACATGCAACGCGGCTTTTTTTTTAGGTTATTCAAGGAATTCCTGGGAATGTAGTTTAATGCAATAATTTTTTTTTTTTTTTCAATAAAAAGGCTTACTGGTATAAAGAGTGTCAGTCATGTATTTTTAATGTAAAGTATATCAAAAGGCAGCAACATAATAAAATGCAGATTGATGCAAACATATTCTGTATTTTAATCTGCAGAACTGAAATGCATTTAATTCACCCTTGTGGCTATAATCCTGAAATTTCTTAGAATGTTTCCTAAAGATTTTAGTATGTGTTACAGAAGTGGGTTGTTTAAATGGAACTGAAAATAAATATTCCTTAAAAAAATTACTCTATCTATGTGGTTTTTGCAAGTACTTTCAATGGATTAGCATCCTCCTGATTATTTTTATACACCAATCAGTTTATTCAGAATTACACTGATAACTCACTTGTCAGGTTCCCCAAATAATGTCTGTGAGCTATGATTCCTAATGTGCGTAGAAGACCCTTTGGTAAAGAAACTAACAGTAGGATCCACACATGTATTACTCATTCACTTTTTAACCATTCTTTAAACCCTACCTAAGTCATAGATATCTCTTTATCCCATGTTTTCCCTTTTACCTTGTGTTTTTTCTGTTTGTTTATTGTATCCTTTCCTGCCTATCTTTCATTTATCTTGTAAGCTTTCTAACAAAACGCTTTGGGTTTTGTTGTATGGGTAGTCGGCTTTGGAGGCCCTGGGCAGTGCTGCTGTACTAACAGTTAATTGTAAGGCTAGTTATAGCCATCAGTAGGCAGTTTCAGAAGTTTCATGTCTCCAGGTGAGCACAAAGACTGAAGTAACACAAAAACAAGTGTCTGCATGGGTACATGTAATAGATAAAAATATGTCTTTTGGTGTGTGGTGTGACAGAAGTCATATTCTGTTCATGGATCCCAATCACCGGGATCAAATTAATCTACCATGCAATGACATCTCATGACTCAGGCATTCCATAAAGTCTTGAGATCACAGTAAATCAATAAAGACAATTGACACAGTGTACCTAATTCCATTCAACTGTGTTTCTTCATCGAGTTGT